ATGAATATGTGATTCCTTCACTTTGACTTCAGTTTATAGACTTATTCGTCACACCATTTTCCGGTATGTTACGGTTTACCTCCGGGGAATTTCACCAAATGAAGTACATACCACTGGAACATTTACTTTTCTATCATTATTTCGCCGTGTAAGGTGAAAAAACTTGACATGATTGAAAATTATCAATGTTCCCCTCAACAACTATTGCAAATTTTTTATAAAATTGAATTCTTTATTATGAAATTCAATGAAATTAAAACAGTCGTAGTGGCATCTTCCATAATAAATAACGAGATATTTTTTTGTGATTAAACTTGCGTATTTTACTTTATTTTTGTATGTAATTATTCTTACAATGATATTTAATTATTTTCCTACATAGTAGTATCTGTTGATTCAATAACGACCAAAAACGAAGAATTCGTTATTACACTCCATTAACGGAATTTCCCACAGCTATGTAAAGAAAGTACCGGAAAACGGCGTTAACCTAGGTTTTCGAATTCGTGAATGTTTGCCGTTAAAGGAATTTAATTTAAACTTTATGTAAGAAAAATTTCTATAGGCCCTTTCGAAATGCATTTCTTTTATTATTCATGCTATTTCGCAATCAATCTTCGCCTCTTCGTTTATATATGAAGATGCGCTGATCTTCATCTAAATAATTATGAAGATGCGTGAAGTACAGTAAACTTTGTGAAAAACTCGTAAAAAATATAGCCCAGTAGGACACATGAGACATACTCGACAGAGAACCAGTCCACCTCCAATCTAGGGGAACAATCGAAACGTCCAATCTCCACACAGTGATCTCCCCTTAATTCTTCGGCGTAGATCTCTGCCACCAAGGTCCCAATATATCAGAATTTCTGATATACTATATTTTTTCAAAAATTGTTTTATCTACTGCTTTTTATCTATCAGATAAGTTTTCTCTCATTTATTTAACAATGTTTATGAATAAATAAATAAATAATATGAATATTTAGAAATAATTTTAAAAATTATGAGATTATTTTCTACCGAGACGATATTTTGATATTTTATATTTTTTAGCTTTTGAATTTATTTTTCGTTATTTTGTATACTTTCGATAATTTTTTAATAAACTATATGGAACGTAGGCACTAAAAGTAAAAAATAAAACAGAAAGAGAAAAATAACGTTAGATTTTCTTTGTAACGGTCGATATTTACATTTGAATTTCGACGTTACGTCATGTGACTTTCATCATCATGTGACGTCTTTGAAGGCAGTGATTACAATTCTGCCAAGGAGGTAATCACTGTGAGGAGTTTGCGGAACGTCCTCAGCTACATTCGAAAACTGCCTCGGCTATTATTCTATAATAATATCAAAGGGCCAAAAAGTTGCGATTGATCGGAGACAAGTGTACCAGTCTACCTCCTGAAATTGGAGAAGAGCCAAAAAGTATTGCGAAATCCGATCGATGATTTATGAAGATGATGGAGTTGCATAGCAAACAGGCGTTTTCGTGTGTTTTACACATCCCGGAAATTTCATCTGGCATGGGAGGGGTGCCAGACGAGTCGCATGCTGACAACGGCACGCTTAGGATGACGTCATTTTTCCGTTATGAATGAAAGTTGCCAATTTCATACGACTGTTGTAAGAAAAATAGTTTACGGCTGTAATGATATCAATTTGCGTTGAAAATAAAGAAAAGAATTAAAAATATTAACTGAAATATTTACAATATGCAAGAAAAAATATCTTGTACATATATATATATGACAGGTATTATTATCTATTAACCGTTGTGTAATTGGGACACAGATTAGGTAATTATTTCATAATTTTGCATTTGCTATTTTTCTATTATTTTCTTGAGCAAGACACTTTAACACTAAATGAATAATAGAATATATCATCCAACTTTCTCCTCATAATCAGAAACTCTCTAACCACTACGCTGCTTTCAGTTGACGTATCCATATCCCACCTTCATTTTATATATCAATAAAAAGCAAAGGAAATAAACTGAATAACTTGCACAAACCCATTATATCATAATGGCTGGCCCGTTAAAATGTAAACGTTATCGAGTTCGAGGTTAACCTTTGTTTACATAACAAAGATTGATAACAATGCGAAAAAAAAATATGGAAAGCCATGGCTGTCTTATATTGTTCTTTTCCAATTTATTTAACCATTTGGATAATATATAAGTTCACTTCGACTATATATGAATTGAAAACACCTTCTTATTTAACCGGAATCCATTATGTTAATCCACAGTTACAAATATGAAACCATACCGTCAGTGTATGAAACAGAGTTAGCAATATATAAGTTGATTTTCTCAATATAATGATTCCAGTTCTTCAATATATGGTACCAAAGTAGCCATGTATGGAATCAGATATCTTATATGAATCCGTATTATCAATATATCAATTAATTTTTTCAATATATGAATCCAATTTATCAATTTATGAAACCAAAAGGTAGAAATATATATAAGTTGGTTATCACATTATATGATACCAATTCTTGCTATAGGTTGCTAGTATATGAATCCACTTTTCCAATATATGGAACCAAATGAGCAATGCGTTGAACCAAAATGTCATTATACTGACGGGACGTTTTTAAAGGCTGTATTCTATCCTCGCACCGGTATTACAGTTTCGCGCCAATATTTGTTGTTTGAACTGTCAAAAGACCAGCGTGCTTTACTAATGGCACTGCACATTTTCTAAATAAGGACATATTTGAATTTAACGTCACATTCAATTACTTTGGCCTTAAAATGGGCTGGGCAGGCAAAAACTTATCGTTATATTATGTACGAGGTGTATGTAAAATTTCAAAGTCATAATTTAAGCTTCTAAGTCGTATTGACCATAAACAAGAACATATTTAAACAAAAGTTTATTCTCGACCTTTACCTTTGATCAAAAATGGGCATGGCCAGTAGGACACATCAATGTTAATCTACTCACAAAGTTTCAAAATAACCAGTCAAATAATTTAATTTCATGAAAAAGTGTATGCATTGTTATAACAGAACCCAGTGACTTTTTGACTTGAAAATAGGCTAAAATTGGTTCCATATAATGAATATTTCTATCATAGAATGTAACATCAACATATATACTGCTTCTTTGGTTGCATTCATTAATAAAATGGTTTCATATATTGTAAAAATGAAATAATATATTAATAATTCGGTTTCATATAAGGGCATCTGGTTCCATATATGGCTACTTCGGTACAATATATTGAAAGAATTGGTATCATATAATGTGATAACCAACTTATATATTTCTACTTTGGTTTCATAAATTGATACACTGGTTTCATATATTGAAAAATCAATTAATATATTGATAATTGGGTTTAATACCAGGATATCTGGTTCCATATATGGCTATTTTGGTACTATATACTGAAGAATTGGTATCATATCATGTGATAACCAACTTATATATTTCTACTTTGGTTTTATAAATTTATAATTGGTTTACATATAGTGAACAATGCATTAATATATTGAAATTTCGGTTTCATATAAGGATATCTGATTCCATACATGGCTACTTTGGTACCATATATTGAAAAACTGGAATCATATATCGAGAAAATCAACTTATATATTGCTAACTCTGTTTCATACACTGACGGTATGGTTTCATATATTGTAGCTGTGGATTAATATAATGGATTCCGGTTAAATAAGAAGGTGTTTTCAATTCATATAGTCGAAGCGAACTTATATATTGTCCAAATGGTTAAATAAAATTGAAAAAGAGCAATATAAGACAGCCATGGCTTTCCATAAAAAAAGTAAGGGCAAGCTGATTCCCTTATGAATTAAACACAAAGTAAAACGTGAGATTTTTATGTGCCTTGATAGCGCAGTAGACAGAGCGACCGTTTAAGTGTTTATATTCATGGTCGAATCGTGGTTATATATATAAGTACTATTACATTTGGCTGTCTAATGGATCTTTTTCTTATTTGACCGGTTTTGTTTCAAATAGTTACAAAATGCATCAGATATTTTTTGGACACGGGTTGATATGCACTTGCGTACAGTTAGAGAAAAAACGCCACACATCAGGAGAAAGCATTATCAGAAAAGTAAAAAATAATGTTATATATTGATCCATATATTCAAATTATAAATATTAGGTAATCGTAGTACATTTAAAAATTCTTCATACAGCAATAATTTTTGCGAATCGAACCTGCCTTGCATTGATATTCAACTAGAAATTTAAATGACAGTCTTACCTACTGCGTTAAGTGGACAGTTGGCAAATTGGTAGTTTTTGTTTATTTGTATCGTTAAAAGATGATAAATACAATATGATAACTGTTTTACACCCTTATAGTTGACTTGACCACTGCGTCACTAAATAATTATTTTAGACGTACTCAACACATTTACCTACACTGTAAATGTAAATGTTAAAGAATAGAACACATCTTGAACGCCTATTTGCAACAGATATTGAACGCCAAGACGCGTTCCATTTCTTAATACTAGTGTTCAACTTTTGTCTCCAACCGTTCATATACTAACGCCTTATGAACATCTAGTGTTCAAATTTTAACGTTGACGTTAAAATCTTAACACCAAACCATTCCATTATAGAACATGTTATGAACATTCAGGTGTTCTACTTTTAAATGCCAGACGCGTTCAATTTCGATGCAACAGATATTGAACGCATAGAACATGTTCAAAATTAGGTATGTTAAAAGTTAGAACACCGATGAACACTTATGTTAACATTTGAACACCTGATAAAACAACAGATCTACGTCATAAAACAAAAAATCATATTAAGATTTTTTAATTTTTCTTTAATTATTCACAATAATAAAATGAATGTTATCCAAAATTTCTTATTATTTTCTAACCCTCAGCCTGATAAACAGTTATAAAGTAAAAAATGAAAAAATTTAAGACTAACAATTATGATCAAAATGTAATAAATTAGATACTGTTTTAGTAATTGTTTGTACATGTTAACATGAATCTTGCGTTTCATATCAGACCACAAAAGTTTGAGTAATAATCACACAGCAACATAACCTGTCTTTCAATATCCTAGCATTGTTTCACTTGTTGTTATAACATGTTGTATTTCTATTTTTTATATTCTTGTGTGCATGAATGCAGTCTTCTTAACATAACACATGAATTAAGGATAATTTCCTAAATTTCTTCGCAAATACAAACTGCTGCGAGAGTACATAAACAATAATCAATATTCTATGTCGAAACACCAAAGGACAGTTGCTTTCCTCTGTAGTGTATGTCATCAGTTTGTGCGAGGTGTTTTCATTTGTCTCCAATTTAGCAGGACAATCATATTCTTCATTATCCTGGAAAACATTAATGGAATTTACAAACATGCTGGTGATTTAAAGGCTTATAGTTGCTTCCTATGAGATAAATCATTCTTTACAGTTCTGATATAGAGAATAACAGCGTAAGTGGTTGACATACATGTATATAATATATGTATATTCACCACATTCAAGTCCGATTTTTTAATACAATTCTAACATCACCAGGGCCATGCACATTGTCACAAAGTCGATTTGAATCCGTAGCTACGACTCTTGTACGACACAATTTATTTGTGACACAATGTCAGGCCATCTTTGTAACAGTTATGGACTATAAAATGATTTGATTGACAATAAAAGCTCATTTGGAAATGTTAGAATTTAAATATTATCCACCTAATATTGTTTAAGGAAACATACCTCAAAGATCTGTTTGGAAGTCTGGAAATTACATCATCCCCTTATTTCTGCTCCAGTTTCTGTAGATCTACAGTATAGTTCAAATCTTTAATCACTGCTTGGAACAACAGTACTTACTCGCTATCCTATTAAAATATATATCATACACAGATTTATACACAATTTCTAAATAATTCATTAATCTTTGCATTTAAATAATCCCGACTACTCAGAAAAATCTACAATATCACATATATAGATCATCTCCTTGTATATAAGGAGACACGTTTAATTATGCCATTGTGAACTACAACAATATGACGACTTTTTTTTCAGAAAAATAAAACAATTATGGATAAAAAAGAATGGTAAAGAAATAAAAGTTAATACCGTATTTTTCTTCAATTTTAGTCATTGTTCAGCTTGCGTTTCTCCAACGCTTACTTGTTGTTGTTGTTGTTGTTGTAGTACTTGAATGACGTCAGATATTGTCACAAATCTATTTTTAGAAACGTTCTCAATTAGAACATTCGATGAACGCTACTGTTCATATCATGTTCCACTTTTTAATGTTTTAATTATCAAAGCACCATTACTTGTTAAATTGCGTAAATGTAAACCCAACTGACAATATATTGACCAAAAAACTTACCCAAGTAGTCAAAAAATCAAATTCTTTCATGTTGTCTAGTCAGAAGGACTACCATTGAACACTGACGTTCACATGATAAGTGTTCAACCCGTAAATAGAACGCCTTTACTGAACACAGGCATTCAAAATATAAACGCGCAATGTTCCAAAATTGAACAAGTGTGAACGCGTCCGGTGTTCTCCTCATTTACAGTGTATGTATCTGATATAAATAATAAACACAAAAAATATTGTTTGAAAATTTTCCTAATATTTGCGGGAAATCACTGACCCGCGAATTGCGTAGCTCATCTACACAAACGCTATCACTTTAATCTTTAAGGTACAAACCTGTTTCAACCAACATTAAAACAGATAAGGTCCTGTATCGGAAATGATGAAGGGGGTTTATTAATTTATTATCTCTCAATAATAGATGCTTGTTGATGACGAATCTCATTTTGATTATATTTTAATTGAATATTCGGCCAAATTAACCAAATAAGTAGAAAAAGCTTTGTAAACGATAAACGCTTTTTTTCAAACCGACTGAATTCCTTATAAACACTTATATTATGACACTTTCCAACTTTAATATTGATGTGTTTTATCATGATAACCTTGCTTTTTGATGAGGGATCACACATAAACTTGGTCAGTAGAATTTCTGCGGACGTACATAATGGCTTTTTTAATCATAGAAAAGTCAGGGCGCCAAAGCCCCCGCTTTTCAAAACTAGGTACGTTGTAATGCGCGTAGCCAGTAGTTTCACTGATTTCTTGTGTGTCCAGGGTGAGTGAGATAAATAAGCTATCATTGGGTTGGATAGAGGATAGAGAAATTCAAACGCTAAGGCTCGTTCCCGATGGAAAATGAGAAAATAAATAAGTTTCTCTGAAAGTGATTTTTCCTTTTTAATATATCTTAAAATAACAATGTTTATCTTTAAAACTTCATTAAATGCCGTTTTATTGTTAAAATAACATTTCAATAACATTAAAATTTTTGGCCGTCAGGCCGCTGGGCCGCCAACTTCACAAAAATGACAAAATAAAAAAATTCTCTTAAAGTGATTTATTCTTTTTATATATCCTTTAAATAACAATTATTATCTTTAAAACTTCATTAAATGCCGTTTTATTGTTAAAATAACATTTCCAGCACACTAAAATTTTTGGCTGCCAGGCCGCCAGGCCGCTGGGCCGCCAACTTCACAAAAATGACAAAATAAAAAAAATCTCTGAAAGTGTTTTTTTCTTTTTATATATCCTTTAAATAACAATTATTATCTTTAAAACGTCACTAAATGCCGTTTGATTGTAAAATTAACATTTCCAGCACACTAAAATTTTTGGCTGCCAGGCCGCCAGGCCGCTGGGCCGCCAATTTCACAAAAATGACAAAATAAAAAAAATATCTGAAAGTGATTTTTTCTTTTTATATATCCTTTAAATAACAATAATTATCTTTAAAACTTCATTAAATGCCGTTTTATTGTAAAATAAACATTTCCATCACACTAAAATTTTTGGCTGCCAGGCCGCTGGGCCGCCAACTTCACAAAAATGACAAAATAAAAAAATTCTCTGAAAGTGATTTTTTTCTTTTTATATATCCTTAAATAACAATAATAATCTTTAAAACTTCATTAAATGCCGTTTTATTGTTAGAATAATATTTCTGTAACATTAATTTTTTTGGCCGCCAGGCCGCTGGGCCGCCAACTTCACAAAAATGACAAAATAAAAAAATTCTCTGAAAGTGATTTTTTCGTTTTATATATCCTTTGAATAACAATGTTTATCTTTTCAAACTTCATTAAATGCCGTTTATTGTTAAAATAACATTTCTACCACATTAAAATTTTCGGCCGCCAGGCCGCTGGGCCGCCAACTTCACAAAAATGACAAAATAAAAAAAATTCTCTGAAAGTGATTTTTTCTTTTTATATATCCTTTAAATAACAATAATTATCTTTAAAACTTCATCAAATGCCGTTTTATTGTTAAAATAACATTTCTTTTTTAATTTTAACATTAATTTTTTTGGCCGCCAGGCCGCCAACTTCACGCCGCCAGGCCGCTAGGCCGCCAACTTCACGCCGCCAGGCCGCTGGGCCGCCAACTTTACGCCGCCAGGCCGCCAGGCCGCTGGGCCGCCAACTTCACACATCTCTGCTACCATCATAATAACGGAAACTAAGCTATACATTACAATATTTGTTTCTGTTCGTCAAATTTTGACGACTTAAGGTGTCCTAATAGATTTTTTGCTCTTTTCCCCTTTCTACGCTAAAAGTCTCCCTGCAAATTGAAATGAATACGTAACCCACACCCGAAGATGTTTCTACAAAACATTTTTGGGGAAATAAATTAAGTATTTCTGTTCATCCAAATTGTATATTAAAGGGACTATCCGCCAGTTCGTCTTTGCGTTGTTCGATATTCTAACATGCTATTTTTTCTACTTTTCTATTATAATACTTTGTACACAATCATGCTTAATGGTACGACACGAATTTTCTTGAATTAAGAATGATATGACAACATCTAAATTTAAACAACATCTTAAATCTTAATTCATACTATCAATTTTACGTGAATTTGTTTTTCAGGATCTTTGTCTCATGTAATGTACAATTTATTTCTCAATTTACAGTGGACATTGTGTATTTTCCTACTTGTGTTATGGCTGTTAACAAATATAACTCATAATACGATGTTGATATAAAAGCAAACATTATAATTATATTGTCTTCATAATTATGTAATAATGCTGGCATGAAGACCGTAAATGCCAATGTTACGACAGAGGTCGCATATTGTTGCCGTGAATAAAGGTTTCTCCCTCGGTACCTATGTAAATATCACCCTACTGAAGTCAACCGTTAGCGATTCATAAACCCACCATTACCGGAGAATAAAGAAAAAACCGATCCATATTAAGAATGTACAAGTTAAATGTTGATGCTGCACATCTTAGACGCCGCCAAATGATGTGAACAGTCAATCAGCATTGAAAATCGTTCTCTATTACAGTTGAATATCCGAAGCACAAATCAATTTTTTCTCCATGTTCTTGGTATGTGCTCGTTGTTTAATAATAAAGTTACATATATTTGTGAAAAGGTAGAACATAATGCATGAATTCACAAAATAATGCCAGGTCTTAAATGTTTGTCTGTTGCGACAAAGACTGAAACGTCTGATCGAATCAAAATAAATTGGTTAAAAAATAAAATTGAAATGATTGGTATACTTAAAATAAATTCAAGACAATATGTGCCGAGAATATACCCATTTAAATATTGGTATGAATTGCATAATGTTCGAATGATGTTGAGGACAAACTGTTCTGCAGTGATGTCCCCTTACAGGCCGTAGCGTAACCGGTTTGCTGTACGTTCTTAACGGTTGAGTGAGAACCGCCTCTCTGATAGTGGGCGTGATCTAGGTTTTTTAACTTGTAATTTAATGATTCGACAAGTGATATTGATCAAAGTTGTCCTGGTTTCCTTCTACCCCGTCAACGAAGACTAAATGCTAGCATATGGAGCATAATATCAAATTTAATATGACAATTTAATATGACAGTTTAAGGCGGAGCCGAACTTCAACAGAGGCGAAGCAAATGAAGTAAGTGACACTGCCTCAGTTTTCACCTCTCTCAACGGTTAAGTTTTAGAACGATCGACTATAGACTGGCTCATTGGCACGTTATTTATTATGTAGATAAAATTAGATAATGATAAAAAAGAATATGATATTCAAACATGGCACTATCACTTCAGTTAAACGTTTATTCTAATCCCTTAAAGCTCTGTGACATAATGTACATCATAAAAGTTATTTTTATTAGAAAATTTAAAAACAGTGTGATTTGTTAAAACAAAAAAATACACAAAATCAAGTCTAAAACTTCCCCCATTGCTGTATGGACAAATGCATACCTACTAGACGCCGCTTGCAAGCGGCGTCTAATAAATACGCGTGTTTGTTACACGTAAAGAAGGCAAACCATTTTTGAAGGTGCATTTGTATTCGTTATCACATTAACAGTACACATTTACATAAGATAGAAAACTGTTATTGTCCTCTCAGATATATATGTACAAAAATGGCGTGCACTCTTACTTTGATAATATATCATTTCCGTGTGTGTGTATATATATATATATATACATGTATATCCATATCGTTACCCTCTTCAAACGGTACCCTCTCTGCACATACACAGGTTATTCCTTGCTAAAAACAACCCAGCGATGGATAACTATCAAGCTAATGTTCCTTTTACTGACACAAGGAGGTATGTCATGTGGAAAATATGTATACCACAGAACACTAGAATGTATTATTTTCGAGTGTTTATTGTAGTGTGTCCATTTTCAATTATTGCAACCTCACAATAAGCTACATAAAATCGACATGTCTTGTCTCGCCCATCACCTCGACATTATTGGCGTCCGCGCCGAAGCGCGACGCCCCTTATGGAATGAAAAAGGGCATTTGCAACTTCTCGGGCGTTTTCGTCTGTCATAATAGCCGATCTGAGGAAAAATGAAATGTCACGATATTTATAATGAATAGCGAACTGGAGAATTTCGCAATGCAAACATATTCAAATGAAATTATCTTATCCGTCAATTAATTGCGCTCTTCGGGTTTTTTCATTAATCATGTGGGTTATTATGTATGTTACTGCTGTACCTGTAAATCGAATGATGACCTTAACATTGTGAAAGTCCGAAAATCTATTTATAGAAGTAGTTCTAGTTTAACGAAACGGTCATTCGTGTTGCGCTATGTAACACCGCACTTTGGGGTCAAACGCACTTTGGGGTCCGACCCCAAAGTGCGTTACGTACTTTGGGGTCCAACCCCAAAGTGCGTTACGCACTTTGGTGTCAAAGTTTGACCCCAAAGTGCGTTACACAGGTACATATGCATTTTTTGACATCAGACAAACGACTGCACTTTGGGGTCATAAAATTCAATCAATAAGAACGAA